AGTTTTGAAGTCTTATGCTTGAAAGCCAGTCTCATTTTTCTTGTTTCATAGCTCTTGAAGTAAAAGAGAATGTTGTAGTTTAACTCCGGTGGGCAGCTCAGCCCCACACAGACGCTTGCTCACTCCCCCGCAGTGGGACAGGGAAGAGAATAGGAAGGACAAAAGTGGGTTGAGATAAAGACAGTTTAATAGGTAAAACAAAAGCTGTGCACACAAGCAACACAAAATAAGGAACTCATTCACTACTTCCCACTGGCAGGCAGGCATTCAGCCATTTCCAGGAAACCAGGGCTCCATCACCCATAGTGGTTACTTGGGAAGACATACGCCATCACTCCGAACGTCCCTTCCCTTACTCCTTCTTTGCCCCAGTTTTTATTGCTGAGCATGACATCATATGGTATGGAATATCCCTTTGGTCAGCTGTGTCCCCTCCCAGCTTCTTGTGCACCCCCCAGCCTACTCGCTGGTGGGGCAGCATGAGAAACAGAAAAAGGCTTCGATGTTGTGTGAGCGCTACTCAGCAATAGCAAAAATATGGGTGTGTTATCACCACTGTTTTGGTCACAAGTCCAAAATATAGCCCCAAAGCAGCTTATTATGGGAAAATTAACTCAATCCCAGGCAGAACCAGTCTGCTGCAAATCCAGACTCCTGTGGGAGCTTAAGATCCGTATTCTTAGAACGATGAAAACGACCATTATTCTCTGGCTATGTGTACCAAGCTGAGGAGCAGTGAAACATGAGTGTTTGGGATGGGTACTTTGTTTTGCTGGTTCTCATAACTGCCTGGTACTCATAGTAGCTGGTGTCTGTTCATTTGGAACAGCACTTACACTCTAACGATACATGAAAATCTAAGGAGTGTTTGATAAATCTCAGTACTGAAGAAGGAAGACAATGTCTGTATTGGATCAGCGGATCTGAATGCCAGAAGGATGCAGAGGGCATACATGTACCATACCACCACAGGGCAGCATAATTCAGGAGTTACGAAATGACACTCAGGAGAACCCAACAACTCAACTCAACTCTCTCTCTCTTAACTATGAGAAAAGTTTGACTCATATTCTTAGTTGGGTATGTTTGCATGAAGTACGAAACAAATGTTTGAATTACAAAAGCAGCATGCATATGCAGTTTTGTCCAGATAGTGGTGTCCCACACTGTAAAAACTAACTGCAGCAACCTTTTCTTGTCTTAAAAACACAGTTCAAAAGTTCCATCATAAAATGGATGAGTCAATTTCAGATCCTACGGATTCTGTTTAAATACAAGGTGGGATTTCCAGGCACCTTCTTAGCTACGTAAGTGTTCATCTGTCACTACCCTGGGTGCTACTGGTACCTTCTATCATTCTACTCAAAGCTAGCAACGTGCCCCCCCCCAGTTTCTTTTCCTGAAGTTAGTAGCTTCTGTACACTTATGTAAACATCTGATAGGAGATACCTGAAAAGGGATAAGGGCAACATTATGTGACGAAACTAACGTCCACATCTTGCCTTCCTTTCAGTGCACTAAAGAAGTGCTCTGTTAGTATTCAGCAGTAATGTTGGGTATAATTAAGTAATTTCTTGAGCTTGTCTTTGTTCTCAGATATGTTGTTTCAAGAGCTGGTAAAAATAATGTTTTATTCATGGGTTAACTCTTGATATTTGTTAGGAAAACAGGATGTTTGGAGGTTTTAGTGAGGGTTGGTTTATATATCTGTGCTCTATCAATTTCGGTGAACTGATCATAATAAAATCCTTGTGACAACAGCAGAAGAGCTCATCATAGCATTGAGAGTGGAGGAAGAGCACATGCATTTCTTCACTTGTCCTTTCCATATTAGGAATTGCTAGCAAGTAATTACACCCTCTACCTGGAGTGGTACTATATATGAACAGCCTTGTTCGTGCCAATTAGGAATTAAACTGATTCTAAACTATGCAGTAGTAAGGGCAGTAAACAACTTGAAAAGTTGATCTGCCCCTGATTTTAAAGAAGAAAAGAAAAAAACCCCAAATCTACACACAGAAGTGACACTCAGTCTGGAAATTCATAGTGAATTCAACACTAAGCTCCATTAAAAACACCTTTCTATTCTCAGATTGTCCATCTGTAATTGGTCGTTCCTGATTTCCAAAAGTATATAATTGTGATTCAGCAATGGTAGTCAGCTATTGCAGTTAATCACATATAACTTTCTAGATGTTGTATATTGAGGAGAATCTCAGATTTTGTGTACTCAGTCCTTTAAAGTGGCAAACATCCTGTTTGAGGAAACCATACTAAAATATGCGGTTTTTTTCTTTTACATTCAACAACTTCGCTGAGAGGAACTTGCTAGGTGCTTTCTGTGTTAGATGTAAATGACTTTTTAAGAGCCATCTCTTAAGAGCGCAGGAGCAGGCAATTCCAAAGTATTGGAAGTCAAACAACGGGGTGGAAGGCTGGCTTGGTTGAGCAGGAATCTTCTTCTAGAAGTTAGGTGGAAAAGGAAAGTGTACAGACATTGGAAGCAAGGACAGGCAACACGGGAGTACTACAGAGATGCTGTTTGCCACTGTAGGGAGAAAATTTGTGTAGCCAAAGCTTGATTAGATTTCAAGCTGGCCACCACTGTGAAGGACAACAAAAGGCCTTTTTAAAATATGTTAACAGCAAGAGGAGGATCAGAAATAACATTGGTCTGTTGCTTGATGTGGTTGTTCACCTCACAAATAAGGACATAGACAAAGTGGAGACATTTAATCCTGGGGTAATCCTGGCTATACGTACAAATTGGGGGATGAGAGGCTGGAGAGCCGCCCTGCAGAAAGAGATATGGACGTTTGGGTTGATGGCAAGTTGAATGTGAGTGTGCCCTGGCAGCCAAAAGGGCCAACCATGTCCTGGGGTGCATCAAGCACAGCATAGCTGGCCGGTTGAGGGAAGTGATTGTCCCACACTACACCGCACTGGTGCGGCCCCACCTTGAGTAGTGTGTGCAGCTTTGTGCACCTCAATATAAGAAGGACATCAAACTATTAGAGTGTGTCCGGAGGAGGGCGACCAAGGTGGTGAAAGGTCTCGAGGGCAAGACTTAGGAGGAGCAGCTGAGGTCACTTGCTTTGCTCAGCTTGGAGAAGAGAAGGCTGAGGGGTGACCTCATCACAGCCTACAACTTCCTCAAGGGGGGCAGCGAAGGGGAAGGTGCTGATCTCCTCTCTCTGGTGACCAGCAATAGGACACGAGGAGATGGAATGAAGCTACTTCAGGGGAAGTTCCGGTTGGGCATTAGGAAAAGGTACTTCACTGAGAGGGTGGTCGGTCACTGGAACAGGCTTCCCAGGGAAATGGTCATGGCACCAAGCCTGTCAAGAGTTCAAGGAGCATCTGGACAACACTCTTAGTCGTATGGTTTAGTTTTAGGTAGCCCTGCGAGGAGCAGGGAGTTGGACTCAATGATCCTTATGGGTCCCTTCCAACTTGAGATAGTCAATGATTTTAATGCTCTCATTTGGGAAGAGAATGAGCGAAGAGAATGGGCCCAACCAGCTGAAGGTCAGCTTTGCAGAAAAGTAGCTGGGGGTCCTGGTTTACCTGGTGTGCTGTTGTGGCAAAGGAGGCTAACGGTATCCTGGGCTACAGTAGAAGGAGTGTTGCCAGCAAGTCCAGGCTGGTGATCCTACCCCTGTCCTCAGCACTGGTGAGGCCACGCCTGGAGTACTGTGTCCAGTTGCGGGCTCCCCAGTACAAGGGAGATGTGCAGCTACTGGAGCAAAAGGCCAGTAAGATAATGAAGGGACTGGAGCATCTCTCATATGAGGAAAGGCTGAGAGATACTTTACAAGTATCTGAAGGGAGGGTGTAAAGAAAACAGAGCCAGGCTTTTTTCAGTGTGTCTAGTGACAGAACTAGAGGCGATGTGCACAAACTGAAACGTAGGAAGTTCTTTCTGCACATAAGGAAACAATTTTGACTGTGAGGATAACCAAGCTCTGGCACAAGTTGCCCAGAGAGGTGGTGGAATCTCTGCTGGGTGTGGTCCTGGGCAACCAGCTCTAGGTGACCCTGCTTGAGCAGGGGGACTGGACAAGGTGATGTCCAGAGGTTCCTTCCAACCTCAATCATTATGTGATTCTGTAATGATTTAAAAGTAATGATCCAGTGCTCAAAGATGATGCTTCATCTCTTGAGGCACCTTTACCTTGCAACAGAGAAAACGTCTTTAAATTTATGACAGTGATGCTGAAAAAAAGTCAGGGGATAATACTTTCTTGGAGAAGAAATCACTAGGGTTCTTATATGCTATGTGGCATATGCAGGTAGCATTTAGCAGCAGTTATGGGGATGCAGTTCTCGTTTTGCTTCTCATCATGTTGCTTCATGTTAACCTCTAAAAAATGAGTAGTAGGCATGGACTTCTGCTTTGCTTTAGGGAGTGTGAGGTACTTCTTTTTTGCTATATCAAATAGTTGTATGTGGGTCTTTCTTTCTGAATATTGTTTTAACTCTTATTCAGGTTTTTACTGGACTGAGATCTGCAGTAGGTGTTGCATCTTGTGATTCAGGGAATATGAGGTTTGTCAGTGTGAATTCTTCACAGCTTCTGTTAGTACAGTAGAAATGTTCACTGTACGTAGTTATGCAAAATATTAATTTTTATGATACACATTAGAGTTTGTGTGTTCCTTGTAGTCTTTAGTTGTTAGCTATTGCGGATTATTTTACAAGTGTTTTTACTGAGTGTTTGTAAATTTTTTAATAATCTTGGCATCTTTTAAGTAGGGAAAATTTGCATAAATATTAAATAGTTCCATGATGGAAGGAAGGAAGGAAGAGGATGGAAAGGTAGTGTGAGCTTACATAAATAAAGAAGTAGTTGTATCTCACTCTAGTTAATATCGCTGTAGTTAATGTGCTCTTAATATTTGTCAGAATCTCAACTGTGGTTTGTAGAACTTCTCATGATGGTATTTGCTTGAGGTTTTTCTTCCTCTCCTTCCCTTCATTTAACTCTTCCTCAAAAATAGGAGATTCTGGTGTCTGGGGCTTGAAAAAGAATTTTGCTTTGTTGGAACTCTTGGAACGGTTGCAGAATGGACCTGCTGGGCAGTGTGGGACGGCAGAAGAAGCCATTGGTCTATCTGGAGAGGTACTGAGTTTTTAAAAAAGCAAAAAGTTTGTTACATTTGCTTAACGTTAACTCTAGATAGAAAAAAAAAAAGAAAATCAGTTCTGTGCAAATGTAATTTCATAATGTAATAATGTAATAATGCTGTTGTTTTCTTTCACTATCCAGTATTAAGGCTTCAATTAATTGCTTCATAATTAAATGCTAATCTGTACTGACTAAAGCAGACAATAAAAAGGTATTGCAAAGCACGCATACTCTTCTCCCCTTTTTTAGGCTTTTAAGATTTTTAGAATATCTTACTCATTTGGATTCTTTAGTTACAGTGATTTAAGGAGAGTTTTCTAAAACTTCTTAGAAACTCTGCCTGAAGACTTCAACTCTTCTTCTCGAGTAGTTGCCTTTTATAGTCATTTGGTATTACTACATCATGTGATAGTACTTCATTTTCAAAACTAGCTACTTTAATCGTTTCAGTATTAACAACTGGTATGCAAAAAGTATCATGCAGTGCCATTCTAGGAATAGATAACTGTCCCAAAGTGCCTATTTTTTCATTGGTGTTTTGTCTGTGTCTGTAACTTTGTAATTCTTTGTGCTGTAATAACTGCTTTGGAGAAAATTACTGGAGCCTGAATTATTTTATCTTCCAAACCTTTAAAACTTCCACTGAAGTTCGGATTTATAAAACCACTGAACACCTTTAGAGTAATTTATTGGAGTTGACTGTAAAGGAGGCTGACTTTTATTTTTTTAAAATTCATTGATAACTTAAAATCAAATTTTCAAAGTAGTCCAAATACTTGCTAGTGTGTAACTTTTAAAGAAAGTCTGTTTTCAGATTTATATTGGTGGCAGGTCTTCCAATTTTCCTCGGTTATTGGGATTAAATGTTAACAACTTCAGTTTTGTCTTTTTCTTTTTTTCTTTGTTAGAGTATCATTCGTTGTGATGAAGATGAAGCCCATGTTGCATCTGTATATTGCACGGTTTGTGCCACTCACCTGTGTGCAGACTGTTCCCAGCTTACTCATTCTACGAAGACACTAGCGAAACACAGGCGTGTACCTCTTGCTGATAAGCCTCATGAGAAGACCATGTGCTCCCAACACCAAGTGCATGCTATTGAGTTTGTTTGTTTAGAAGAGGGCTGTCAGGCGAGTCCTCTTATGTGTTGTGTCTGCAAAGAATATGGGAAGCATCAAGGTCATAAGGTACTGCTAATAATCTGTTTCTAGTCATGGCATGGGGTCGCTTACATAAGTATTTATCCAATGGAAGTACAAAAGATTATCAAGAAAGGAAGGTAGATTCTTGGTATGTCTTTACAGAAGTAACTTAATACTGTTCTTTCATTTTCCCTTCATTTCAGATAACTGCCGTGGTAAAATTACAAGAAAAAAAAACATTATTTCTAGGACCACAATAAGCTATTTATATATTAAGATGGACAGTCCCTTTATCTGATGCTTTTATGACCTTCTCACAGTGTTAAGTCACCAGTTCTGAAAGTTGTTTTCATGATGAAAACACTAGGTTCACCCAACCTGATGCAGTCTAACCACCCTTCTTTTTTTATAATTGATTGTGGTAAACAGGCAAATTTTTATGTTTACTTTGTGTAACTGCTAGATGCCTATCTTAATGTCAGCATAATCTGTAACTCCTGATTGCATTTTAAATTGCAAGATGGTTTTAAATTCTTACTTGCCTTTCCTATATATATGTATACACATATACGTATACAGACAGATATATATAAAAAACATGTAATAAAATAAAAAAGATTATTAAGGAAGATATTTATGATTGATCTTTGATATGTTGCTTTTAATTAATAGCACTCTGTCTTGGAACCAGAAGCAAACCAGATTCGTGCATCCATTTTAGACATGGCCCACTGTATAAGAACTTTCACAGAAGAAATCTCAGATTATTCCAGAAAATTAGTTGGAATTGTTCAGCATATAGAAGGAGGAGAACAAATAGTTGAAGATGGAGTTGGAATGGCCCATACTGAACATGTATGCTTTTTTTTCTTTCCCCCCCTCCACATGCACAGAATATTTGCTTTTTGTAATAACCAAGATAAGGAATTTCTTTGAAAATTATACATAGGTTTTATAAGACAAGACCTTTAGTTCTTATCTCTACCAAGTCAGTATTGAAGCTTAAGCCAGCAAATAGAGGGGAACTTGTAGACTGTTACAATGTTTTTAGAGCTACATGAAAAAATAGGGAAAGCCGTATAACTGCTAATTCAGTTTTGAAGTACTGTGACAGATTGCATCTGTTCTCAAGTGCTGTGATAATTGAGGCCTTTTTCCTGGTCATTTTTAGTAAGGTGTGTATACATACAACTAAGCTACTTTATTATTGGAGTAACTTCTTGGAGGATCTTGGTCTTAAGGCTGATAAGATTTTCTGTATAACTGGGACTTGAACTGAGATGTAGCCAAGCAGATGTGAACATAAGTTAGAAACTGGAATAAAATGAAAAATGTACTTCTGGTGTCTTTAATCCTCTGGATCTCCTGACTGCAACACTGTAGGTACCGGGGACTGCAGAGAACGCTCGCTCATGTGTCCGAGCCTATTTTTCTGATCTTCATGAAACCCTTTGTCGTCAGGAGGAAATGGCTCTTAGTGTTGTTGATGCTCACGTGAGAGAGAAGTTAATTTGGCTTAGGCAACAGCAAGAAGACATGACCATCCTCTTGTCACAGGTTTCAACAGCTTGTCTTCATTGTGAAAAGACTTTGCAACAGGTAAGTTGGCAAGTGAGCTGTCACATATGGCAAGATATGCGAAACTGCAAATTAAGTTTAGGCTGCAAACAAAAAGGTTAGATGGTACTCTGCATTTTTATTTCCTTTACAGTGTTAAAACAATAATGATATAACATGAGATTGAAGTATTCATTACAAGGGGGTGTTAAACAAGGATAATCGGTACAAAAGCATCAAGTCCTCCAGTTGCTGGAAATCCTGTGGCATGATTCTTTTGTCTGGAGTAATTTCTGGTTGTTTGTGAGGTTAGTGGGAAGGATAGATGAAACTGAAGCAAAAAACCTATAAGATTTATAGGAAGGATTTTACAGTTGCAATTACCAGTATAGATGTTTGAAGATAGTGGGGAAAAAAATGTTTTAGGACTAAATAACTTTTGGTAGCACTTGTAATACAGGTAATTCAACATATTAAATATGTGAAGAAAGTGGCTATACGAGAATATCTGGTTGGTCCATTATTCGCTTAATTTAGTGATAGCAAGAAGTAGATAGTATATGTAGCAAACAGTAAACTTAGTGTGAGAAATTACTTCATTAATGTGTTATTTGTACTTTTTTTCTTTTAATTTGTTTAGAGCTAGTGTCTGGTTGCTTAGTCAGATGTACCTTTAACTATGCAAATGTTTCCATCATTAATGGGTGGATATTAATGTTTTTGTGTTAAGTGTGTTGCTATATGCTGCAAAGTAGCTGCTCTATTCCAGCTGCTGGAATGATATATGAATGATATAAATATTCTTTATATATTACATTACTTTCTCGTGTAATTTATATTCTTATTCCTACAGGACTAAGAGAGGTCAAAGAAAAAGTTTTTTATAACTGCAGAACTATTTAGTATCTATTAGTATTAAGGAAGACTGACAAGGCCTTCACATTTGTATTGCAATTTTAAATAAATCCTTTTTTTGTAAATGAGATTTTCTTTGACTAGAGTATTTCTATTTAAAATACTTTTTTTCCAGCCATGATATTTACCTTGTGTTTGGTTATTTTAAGTAAGTTACTAAAGGAAAGGCATGCTTTTGTTTTCTTTGTCTGTTTAGGATGATTGCAGAGTAGTGTTGGCCAAACAAGAAATTACAAGATTGCTAGAGACACTACAGAAACAGCAGCAGCAGTTTACAGAACTTGCGGATCACGTACAGCTGGATGCTAGCATACCTGTCACTTTTACAAAGGTATTCTTAATCTCATGGAAGTACAGTTATCTGCTTTATGAAGTCCCAAATGTAATTTAAAAGAAAGCAGGAATAGTACATGTTCATTGTGATGCTGTATTTGTTGCAGCAAATTTAGGCAGTTCAGTATCAGTTAGAGGCACAGTATCTTATCATATGATGAGTGCCATCTGGTATTTGAGCAACAAAACTGCTGTGCTGTTATAATCAGTGTGAGAAACTACATCAGTAGCTTGTTTGAACATCAGCTGCTTTCTTTTAAATATGTAAGACAGTATTTGTGAATTCTAGAAACACCTTTCTTTGGAAACATCCCTGATTTGTTGTACATTCAAATCAGACCAGGAATCTACCCTTTGTTTTTCCATGTATTTTTGGCTTTTTCGTGAGGACAGCATAACTTCTGCAGAATGTTTATTATTTTATTTCCTGAAAATTGCACACCTATTTTTAAATGCAGTAATGCTGTTACAACTTTCAATTCATAATATTAAAAATAGTGTATTTCTTTCAATTCGTTAAATGATAATTTGTCTTACCGTTGCTTTTTTTAGGACGAGAGGAAATGGCCTCAAGTTGCGCCAAGGGAGGTTTAGACTGGACATTAGGAAAAATTTCTTTACTGAAAGAGTGGTCAGGCCTTGGAACAGGCTGCCCAGGGAAGTGGTGGAGTCACCATGCCTGGAAGTATTTAAAAGACGTGTAGATGAGGCGCTTAGGGACATGTTTAGTGGGCATGGTGGTGTTGAGTTGACGGTTGGACTCAATGATCTTAGAGGTCTTTTCCAACCTTAATGATTCTATGATTCTATGATTTGTACACTGATAGTTTAGGCACAGTTCATCTTCTAAGTAGTTTTTTTATTGCTTTAATGTAATTTCAATACCACCTATTCTTTAAAAGGGATGAAATTATTTGGAATTTGATAATGGTGATACTTTTCACATAAGGGAGTAAATAAGTTTGAAACTCTAAAGAACAAGAAGTACTTTGATTTATGGGTTTTTTTGGTTCTGAGTGGGTGAAAGAGGAATAGGATCTATTGTTGCTGAGATGAAACTGAGGATTTAACTTGCTGTTAAAGCTTTTACTCTAAGGAAATGCATGCTTCCATAGGGATTCTATCCCAGTCGTTGTTGATGTCAGAAATCCACTTTCTTCTAAATAATTTGTTTTGTAACTTCAGTACACTTGAATTTCCATATAATAATTGCTTTGTCAAATCAATAACTGCAACATTTTCATTTCTGCCCCTCCCTTCCCTATTCAGCAGAGTTAGTAGGGTCAGGGAGACCTCTTCTGCAAACCCCGATTGTTCCATGAATGGAGCAGCATTCACATTTCACAGATGGTTAATTGCATTCTGTGTATTCAGAGTTGATTGATACTGCCATCTCACAGGTCTGAGTCAGAGAGGCATTTTTGGATGTCTGGTTTTGCCTTTAGGAGCTGTTAATCTGACTCAGAAAATTTTTATTGCGAATTTCTGAGCATTTGGAAAGAAAATGGTTGCAGCCAGCTAAGCTGTAATAGGAGATCTGAAATAGGTCTCGGCTTGGGGGACCCAGAAGTCTTTCAGTGTCTCCTACACCTCAGCTTTCTTTAGAAAGACATGGAGCTTCTATTGTTTTTCTCCTGTGACAAATTGGTATTTTTGTGAAATCTTCTGAAGCTTAGATTCTGAATTTCAAAGGTGCCAAAGCAAATGTCATTTTTCACAAAAACAGCAGCAGCCATGAAAAAGTAAGGTGAAAATAATTACTTCAGTCTCTTACTTTCTATGTTTCTTCACTTCTGACAAAGTTTAAAGCTCTCTGTCTACACAATGCTTTTTTTAGAATACTGCCATGCTGATGGCCGCTGTCGTGAGTTGTAGTGAGGCTTGTTGTACCCGAAAGCTCTGTGCCTAGTGACAGATTTTAGAAAGAAATAAAATCTTCAGATCAAAAACTGTAAACTGTTATTATATCACTGAAAAGGTCTTTCTCAGGAACTTTCATGCGCTGAAGGCTGCATCCATTATAATGATAAAAAAGCATTTCAAACAGAACAGAGGAAGATTCCATATCCAGTGAAGGTTGTGGAGATTTAAGGAGGGGAGGGAGAAGTCCTATTCTCTATTGGAAGTGAGTAGGTTTTATTCACATTTTTTGTTTCACTGATGATATGAAAAACATGGGTAGTGCTGTTTCATCCTCCTAAATCATCAAGGGAAATGCCACATATAAAGCTCTGAAGGGAGGATTTGGACAATTCCAGGGCAAGATGCTGAAAATCTTTCAAGAAATATGTTAGTATATAATAATTTTTTTCCCAGATGTTGTTAATATATTGTTTCCAATGGATCCTTCTTTACCTATGTATTTATGAGGGTTTTGACCAAGTAAGGTTGAGATGTCTTCATGTACTTTCCTTGGCAAGGAAATGGCTCCTCATCCAGCAGCGTGATCCTTATTTGATGAGATTGCTTTTTTGTCCTGGTCAAATAAGAGCAGTGGCTGTGGAGTGTTATATACCGGAATAGCAATTGGTCATCCTAAATATTTGCTTGTACGTACTGGGGAGAGGGGAAAAATATTAAGAAAACAGTACCTGAGATAGTAAAGAGCACTTATCCATCAATGTTGAAGCAAGTATTGGAAACTGCTAACCCTTACCAACACCAAGAATACCCAAGAAGACAGTAATCTATCAGAGGGAAAGCACTTAACACTTTGAGTAAACCTATATACAGCTTTTGTCACGTCAGCAAATTTCTTAACAAAGGACAAGAACAAAAACTAAGAGATCACAGTTGTTGTATGGGTTTTTCTTCTGCGCTTTCTATACTGAGATTTAAGAAAACACCAAGTTTTACTTGAACAGAAGTCATAGGTTACCTGTTTTTAAGTAAGAAGTCACAGGTTACCTGTTTTTAAGTATGCTATCAAGTT